ACTCCCTGATCAAGTTCCTTCCCATCTTTCCTGCAGGCCCCCTTGAAGTAGCGGAAGGCCGCTGTAAGGTCTCTTCCCGGAGCCTTCTCTTCTCCAGGCTGAACAACCCCAACTCTCTCAGCCTGTCCTCACAGGGGAGGTGCTCCAGCCCCCTGAGCAACTTCATGGTCCTCCTCTGGACCAGCTCGAGCAGGTCCCTGTCTGTCTTGTGCTGGGGGCCCCAGAGCTGGACGCAGCACTGCAGGTGGGGTCTCACCAGAGCAGAGTAGAGGGGGAGAATCACCTCCCTCAACTTGGTGGCCACGCTTCTTTTGATGCAGCCCAGGATGCGATTGGCTTTCTGGGCTGTGAGCGATATTGCTCGCTCATATTGTTTTTCATCCACCAGCACCCCCAAGCCCTTCTCGGCAGGGCTGCTCATGATACCATGGTAGAAATTAGACTACTAATAAATCCATTGCTGTGCTATCAGTAGTTGAGATACTTTCTGTAATGGTTCAAAGGTAACATGAACTATCACACGTGTAAAAGAGGCTGGAAAGTCAGTACAGGGATAGCAGTGAAATCCTTGCAAAAAACAATGGAGAGCAGTAGTACATATCTGTAAAATTATAATCAACCACTGACATCAGTGTATTCAAGCACCAGCACAACACCCCTGAGAAGCTCTAGGTACAAGTGAAACTTTACAATTGTATTGGCTGGATGTTTTTGACAAGAATAGTACCATTCTGCTTAATAGGCAAGAATATATGCTTAGGATAGTATCAAATGCAACGCGGAAGATTTCAGCCTATCAAAACTACTTTTAGCTGTATTATAAAATTTTTAAATCTTCCTGAAGTTTTCCAGACTACAAGGTGGTATTATAGTCACCTAAGGAAATGAATGCATAGCTGAGGGGGAAATGTTTTAGAGTTTCTGATAATACCTTAGGCATTGATAGGACATTTTTGTACAGGTTGAAAATGCATTCTTCATTTTTCACTGACAGCTGGTTAAAGCAGGAAAAAAAAAAAAAAGTCTATAAAAGCTTTAAAAAAAAACCCACTAACACGTGGATAGGTCTGCACTTCTGGTTTTTTCCTGCCCTTGCTAATAAGTGATGTGCAGTTGTTCACTATATCTGTTAGATTCAGTGCCACCTTGGCCCCTAACCACACCGGGCAACAGAGAGTCTAGAGTGCTTCTTCAACCAGGAAGGAAGGGGGTTTCACATCTCTTTTTAATACAATAGGGTAGAAATATTGGAGGCTACTTTTTACACAATTCTTTTTCTTCAGCTCGCATGAAGTCTATGCACTGCTACTCCAGCGGGATGGCTTTTGTTCCCTCTTTTCCACTGGAAGATACTTCCTGTAGGTCAGCATAGCTAGTTTTGAAGTCTGTTCTTACTTCTTTTGGCTCCTCCATGTCTGATATTGTTGATCATTGATTCCCATTTAATGTATTTTCTTTCCTTGATTTTGTAGTACTGTCCTTGCATCTTCCTTCTCCTACCTTTGTGCCTGCTCCTCCTACGTCTCCTTTGGGAGACAGTGTTCTTTGTTTTTCTAACATTCCCTGCGGAAGCAGTTTCCTCTCTTTCTAGTTTCTTCTTTTTCCTTCCTCACAACGTGCTCCTACACACTCTCATCTCCTCCTATGACCTCAGCTGCTATCTCTCCATCAACAAATCACAAAACACTGATCAGCCACTCTCCATCCAATCCTACACATTTCTCAGCTTCATTAACATCTTCTCCTTGCCGTCTCAGTGTCAGCTTAAAGGGGTAATGGCTAAAACTGATGACCTGACTCTCTTCTGTCCGTGTTGAGTCCTCACTTTTCTTCTGTAACTCCATCTCTAACAGCTCCTCCCCCTTACCAAAAGAAACCTGTACCTTTTCACTTTTTTTTTTAGTGTTACACTTTCGAGAGCATCTTGTTCCTTTCCATTCACACAAACACAGTTTAGACGCAGGTCTTTCTTAAGGCATCATCTTGTTTGTGACAACCTAGCAAAAAATTGTTTTACTAATGAAGGACTTCTGGCAGAAGCATCTTCATTGGTCTGTCCTTTCTCCCCCTCTTTTCCCAGCGCTTCCTCCTTTCTTTGAATCCCTTCATTGGTTTCCTCTGCTCTGACATCAAATCAAGGTTTATTACACCCAGCTCTTTCAGTAACACTAGTATTTTCCAGCTTTTTTTCCATATACTCACGCATTTCGTCTTTCTGAGCTAGTCCATGTCTTTTCTTTAAAAAACAAACCAAAACAAACTCCTGTAGAGGTTTTCTATCTCTTCTCTTGTAGAGAAAATTTGTCTTGCAGAGAAAAGACATTTGGTGATCTAATTTCCATTAGCAGATAAAATAGGTTTGATACTCTGGTCGTTTCTCCTGAAATACTACAGCAGAATAAACATGCTTATTATTCCTTGTACCCATGCATCAATTTATTATCAGAGTAAATGTATTTTTTCCTCTACAATATAGGCAACAAAAAAAAAGCTTAAAAAATAGGCTACACAGATTCAAGAGGCATATGTCCATCAGTGGTCATCAAACACGATGGTCCAGGTGTGCTTTCCCAGAAGCATATAAACTGATGATGGTAGCAAGGTGGAACATCGTATTTGGAGAAAGATTCCTGTATACCTGTATGTTACTGGCTCATATGTTGGACACTGGTTACTGGGCTAGTTGGGCATTTGCTCTGCTAGGGTCCCTATGTTACATCCCCACAGTTCTTATGTTCCTGTAACTTAATGGGATAACCAATAAAGCTTTCTGATAACCAATAAACCTTTCTGATACTGTCTATGCTTTTTGTCTTTTTCCAGCCTTGTACAAACCTTTTCCCCTTCTTTACAAGAGGGACTCACAATGTGAACTCCTGTGGACTAGGATCCCACCTTATTTATTTGTCTTGAAAACTTCACAGCACTTTTATGGGAACACCTAATATTCTGATTATTAATAACAAGAAAAACTGTACTTTTATTAGAGCAGCAGAACCACTGCTGGCAGAACTATTTGCAATCCTAATTTCATGCATGCAATATGCTGTCCTGAACCTCTGCCCCTCCAGGTAATATCAGCTGGGGTTTGCTTTTGTTTTTCCTTTTCCAATTCTGCTGCAGGCAGTTTACTTTGCAGCTTCCATCCATTAATCTCGAACTACTTTTACATAGAGGAATTAATTAAGACTCTTACAGACAAGAATTAATTAAGCCAGTAGAAGGCATGTTTTATCATCTCCATGGTGCACATGGGGGAACTGAGGTGAAGAAGCTGTTGCCCAGTTCTTTTGCAGAGCTGGGAATGTACTTAGGCATATATCATATCCTCTCAACCTGGTGTATAAGAATGTCCTTTCTCTCCAAACTTTGTGAGGCAGATATCCAGTTTACCAAGTAAAATACCATTGACATGCAGTCCTATTATTCAAAGTGGAAACACTTCCCTCAGGCAAATACCTTGGCCAGCTGAATTTCTAAACACATCCTTCTTTCTTATTTCAGACAGAAAGAAGCACACAGCACGAAAAGCAAACTACTGTAACTACTGTGGGATCTGATAACATTTATACTCTTATAAAGAATCAACCCAATACCTGAAATCTGTAATCTTATCACCCTGCTTTAACAGACTCTCCCTCTTTCTCAGCATTCACATGTATACTTCTGTTTGATAAAGAAAGAAATACAAACCTAATGACTTATGATTTTTATCTACAGTTCATAAAACCTTTGCACAGCTGACGCTGTACTATCATGCTTCTAAAATGCAACAGTGCCACCTTCAGATTATGCTAAATATGACTTTTTCACAAACTATCAGTACGGAAGAAGCACAGCAGTGATTTTTCTTTCCATCCGGACAAGTCCTGCTAGAAAGTCCAGAAGCACATGTATAAACCTGAGCAGAATCTGCACATTCACATACTGAAACACGAATGTTCACTGGGAACAGTGGTCCTTTACTTTCAAAAACAAAGATTAATAGAGAGCAATCAAATACTATGTTTTAATACCTGGCATATTCATTCTCTAAGCATGAGAATCACAGCACATTCCCTTGCCACTGTACTAGCAGCTCACATGGGGCAGAGGAGCACATCAGCTGGGACCTGCTCCTACTCTGCAGCCTTTACATAATTTTCCAACTACTCCTGGATATGTTGGGTCCCAGAGTGAGAGCCAAGCTACAGTGTACACTAGAAATATATATCTGTATGCACATATGTATATATACTAGACACACTATACACATTACATACGGGATACAGTATGCATTATATCCCCCAAAAGGGTCCTGCTCTGAAAGAAACCTACCAGAAAGTATGACCCCAGCTTGTGTTGCAGCCCCTCCCTGCTATATGAGGAGATGTAGGCCTAGTGTATGACCCATACACACAGGTATATCTGCCACCATGTCTCCTCCCTGCCAAGTTGAGACTGTAAATCAAATGTATATGTTCCATTCTGAAGTTTTTTCTAAACCACAGCAACTGACAGATCCCTTTTACCCTCAACAGAGGTGTTTATTTAAAACTGAACGAGCCTTTAATTAAATATTAAAACAGGCAAAAGTTTCAGTAAATTCAGTCCTGCTTTAAAAATTTGATTATTATCCAAAAATTGGTGCAATGCTGTTTAAACAAGAAAGAACAGTTGCTAATTAAATTTATGGTCTCTTTGCTGACATACTACATATTTTATACTTGGTTTGATTCTAACGGGCAAATCTCATAATTTTAAAACTAAGCCATTTCGATTTGTAATTAGAGCCAGTTCTGAAAAAAGTTAAAATACTTCTCAAATTAATGTTTAGGCCTCTGGTAGTTTGAATAAAAAATTATCTGTGACATTAGTTAAATTACACACACTGGACTGGAGAATATTAAATCAACACAGGCTTAAAAATGAAGGTGGGAATTAATTACTTGAGTTAACTTCTTCGACCTTGTTCTACAATATTACTGAAAGAAGAAAGAAACAGAAAACACTCTACTCACCCACTGTCATACCGTCCATGTAACGCTTGATGATATCAAAGGAATCTCTTAAATTTCCTTCTGTTATGTCAAATATGATATCTGCCTGGTTGGCTGGATATGTAGGTGTGATGGCACGGAGGAAAATAATCTCTGCAAATAAAGAGTATCACAGAATGTACTAAGAAGTATGTGAAAACATCACTGAGGAACCTGACAGAATTTGATCCAAAATGACTTGTCCTCAAAGCTGGTGGAGGACACCCCCCTCCCCCACCACTCCCAGTTTGTCCTTTAAAATTGAAAGAAAGAAGATCTGGGGGAAGGGAAGGTTCAGATAGATTTATGTTCCTCTCCTGCACGATCCAAGAAGCCCTCTAGCAAAAATACTATTACTTTTAGAGTCCAAAAGAGACCACTCTTAGAAATCAGTTAGACTTCCAGCATGTACCCAAAGAGGACAACACTGAGGATCCACAGGGTGGGCAGTGGAGGGGGACCAAAAAGATAAACCCCTGAACTCTGATTCCCTTAGGCAGTTACACAAAGTATTACCACTACAAACTACACAGTCCTTTTGTGTATTGGATGAGCGGTTTAGGTTAAAAAAATAAAAAAAGGAAAAAAAAAAAGTGAGACTATTTTTCTAGCCCCTTGTGAGGGAGGTATTATTATTCTCATTATTATCCTCACTCTACAGATGAAACTAAACCATGGAGCTGTAAGAATTCACCCAAGGCCATGCACTGAATTACAGTTTAGGAATGTCTTCTGGGCTTTGGTAGTACTCTCAGATCACTAGGTCTCATCTCTTTTTATTAAATCATGAGGATGGACTAATGAGGGAACAGTTTGGGGAGCGTCCTGGGTCAAATCCTTAGCTCTGCTGCCAGTACACCTGGTGAAGCTGAAGGGGTGTGTATGGGAGTAGAAGTGGCTATGGGGCATTCCTCCGTTCCCTGTGAAGTAGGGCCAGCCAAGGCCTGAAACAGGCCTGACGCAATCTACAGCAGCTCTACGCAGCTAAGCTATTGGTGGCTAAATTGTTCCTATACGAACAAGGATTGGGATGTCTCTTGCCCTACTCCTTCTGCCTGGTACAGAAGCGAAGAATCAGCTTTGGCTTTCATTTAGGACAACTTTCTGAGACAGCAAGGCTGAGACTCTGGGTGCATCAGAAATAGGGATTTAAGATCTTTAAATACTTCTCCACAATAATCTTCCTTTCCTCTGTCCCCTTCTCCTCTCTCTATGTCTGTGCCACAGAGTAAGTGGCTGAGTGGCTCATTCTACACAGAAGCAGGGCTGAAGGCAGTCATCCCACCTATGGATGCGTAGGCAATCCCCAGTGAAGCTGCCAGAAAACGAATACAAATGCCAAGGAGCAAAAATTGGCTCTTGATCTGTATGTTTATATGTGAACTGAGCAAAGTGAGTGCGATCCTTATGAAACTGAAGGACTTAAAAAACCCGCAGGTACTGCAGAGGCCGAAGGAACTAAAGAAATAGAGGAGTGCCCAACAGAGTGCAGCATCTGGGGCTGGAAAACTCACTCTGGATGACTGGCCAGCCACTCACTTGGATGCTTTTTCAAAATCTTAGCTTAAAAACTTTCTGTCCAGTCTTTGGAATTTCCCTTCCTTTATTCTATGTTTTTAAAAACTACACTTATTTTTTTAATAGGTCCAAAATAGGCAAATCACAGTACTAGATATTATATTCAATATAATGTATTTTGTGATTAACGTTTGCATGTAGATAAAGGCTACATTCTTGGAACAAGCCACCTGTCAATAGTGAACAACAGACCATAAACAGATGAGTGAAATACAATAAGCACCTACTTCCTATGGTAAAATCTGCAAACAAGGGAAGAAAAAAGTCATGGGGCACCCAGCTATTATGTGAGTAAATGTGGTAAATGGGAATTCAGACTCAACATTTCCTTAGACTGGGAAGCTTTATGAGTTAGAGCTCAGAATGACTTTCTTTGCCCCATAAAATTAAAACTCCTGGATATCGAAGGTTTTAATTAAATGACTAGTACACTATAATTTGGAACTGTGCAAACATTTTACTGCACCGGTAGCTAGTCTGGCTTTAGGCAAGGATTTCCGGTGGAGGTTTTATATGTTGTAGTCTATTAAATGGAACAAGGAAGAAACCACTTACCTTCAGGTCTTGTAAATTCTCTGAACGTGGGCAGTGAAATGACAGTGTGGGAAATGGTGTGGACTGGATCCAACACGCAGTTGACATCATTTGGTCGACAAGACTTAATGCAACGGATAGTATCTGTCTTTTCAAGTCTGACACTACAAGAAACGAGAGAGAGAGATGGAGATATATCCTGAAAATTAATTACTTTCTCTTTTGCAATCTGAGGAGCTATAAACTATAATTGATATAAGTGTTCATTCTTCACCTCAAAAACTTAGACAAATGCAGAATATCCTAACTGCTGGACCACTGAAAAATTTGGTTTGGCTAAGAGGTGCAATCAAACCCAGTTCTTCAAGTGAGGCATACAAAAATAGGGAGAACTGTAGTGTGTAAGATACCATGTAAAGGTCTCTTTCCAAGCACAAACAGGACCAAACAACTAGGCCCAGATCCTCAGCTGCAGTACAGTGATGTGGCCTCGCCGGTTGCAGTGGAGCTACACTTATTTGCACAAGTGTTTTTGTATTCCATGTGATATCAATCATATAAAGCAGAAACAATTGTTTCCATTCAGGAAATATGGCAGGAAATATCTGAAGGGCCAACTTTCTTTCACGATTTTGAGTGCAGCAAGAGCCAAAAAAGCCTCTCAAGTCTTTTTTTCATACACCCCCTTTCCATCTAAACTGAGAAAACAGAGAGGAATGGGAACTGGGGGAGGAAAAAAGTTAACCACATTATTTAAAACCTCAAAGACTGAATTCTGAGTTTGGGGAAATGGTAAGGGTCATTTCATATTCCATCTCAACCAGCTGCTCATTCGTCCTTGAAAGTCTATTAAAAGTTAAATGACTTCTTCTCACCCTTGTCCACTAGAGTGAATTTAAAGTCACTTACAGTTCAAGAACTTCACACAATACCCAGTCTGTGTTCATGAGAGATGAAAGGGCTATGCTGGGACTTACAATGTGACTAAGCCCCACAAATGATCTCAACTTTGACCTGCCCATTTCTTCATATTTCTAAGTGGAAAAAAGAAAAGACTGCAATGTCAGAGGGGGGAATTAAAAGATTAAAAAGAAGAAAAATTCACTGAGTAAAAGGGAAACAAAAATGGAAGCTTTAGTTTGTCAGATACCTCTAGAAACAAATGGTTCTTGCTCTTTTGAAAATGTATTACTCAAGTCCACACCTACAAGCCATCTTTTTTCAGATGTTCAAAGGGACTTTATGGCTCTATTAATAATAAATACATCAGTAACTTCTTATTATATGCTACCCACATTTGCTCATCAAAGAAAACAAAGCCAAACACGCTGATACTGTATGAAGCTAAAATAAAGATAAAAGAGAAAACATGAATCAACATTAAGGAAATCATGCTTCAACAGATGTGAACTGGCATAGTCCACGGGAAGGCAATGAAGCTGGGTTAATTTACACCAGCTGAACCTGGCTTGTTGTCCTCACTCTGTAGTTGATGTTTTGAGACTGGCCAGGAGATACAGGCCAGGAGAGACCCTTTACCTCCTACCGTTATCTGGGTACAAAATTTTGTCATTTCCTAGACATCTCACAGGGAACAGCATAGGGCTTTCTGTGGAAATGACATGCACTGGTCATTTTAGAACAAAGTAATTTGGATATATGGACATAACAGTCTGACCTACAATAACAGATTCCGTCCTCTTATTTTTAACCTCAGCTGCCAAATTAAGAAAGGACTTTCAGCTAGCTGACCCTCACGTCTTGTGAAATAAGGATCAGCTAAATTACATAGTCTAGTTCCAGTGTAAAATAGTCTATTTCAAAATACCTAACAAATAGAATTGAGGCAAAATGTACAAAATTTGTGTCTGTTTCCCTCTCCCCCTTTTTTTTCCCCTTCACTGTGTATAAAGGACTTCAGTAGATATTTACATCTATATAGCCATACAAATACTGCATCTTTCCTCAGGATCCTGCTGACCTGGGGTTGCAGTGGCCAAGGCAGACTAGTTTTACTTCCAATAACATGTTTATGAATTCTGACAAAGTTCTTTAAAAGTTTTTCTCTTTGTGTTATATAACACATAGATAATAACTATAGCATCATCTAAAGGTTTTAGGTACACCAATGAACGGTAGCGTGCATAACACTTTGGGACATTATTACTAACGAAGTACTGATACAACACATACAGCATCCTACATTTTAACAGCTGTATTTAGATAATATAATTTGTATGCAAAAACGTTGTGGTAGGAGTGTCTGAAGCCTTCAGTATTGGTCTGTCTTTGCTCCTTCCTGGGATGGAAAGGGAGTTTTACTCTCAACTTCAGCTAGAACAAAATTTGGCAAATAAAAACATTTCTGAAATTCTCATCCAATATAGCCATGGATTTGTTTAAGATAAAGTCATAAGTAAGACTTACATTCATAATTCTCACTTCCGATTCACTGGAGTAAAGCATTCAGACATGAATTAGGTACCCTCCATACAGAAACAGAGGACCACAATAATCACAATGATCACAAGTGATTTGTGTTATTTCCTAAGTAAAACTAGTTTCCAGATCCAGCCGGCTTGTAACCATACATTTGACAGACAAACGTTTGTGCCAGCTCTATTTCTCTGCACCATTTCTCTCTCCTCTTAGAAATCCCACAACTTTTTATTTCACATGTTCTGTCCACACCGCTAAACTTGAGTTTGTGTTTTCATTTTCCCCTGCCTAAATACTCATTCTCTGATCTCCTTGCTTTTGATATCCCTGCTAATTGCTTCAACATATTCAAAGTGCAGTGTTAACGTTTTGTTCTCTCATTGCTTTGACAGCACATCTTTAGACATCTTCTGAAGCAACTTCTTTGACAACCAGCATCTATTTCAAATCCTGATATTTGCTATTAATGATATGCTCTAATCTCAAAACACTTTTTTATTTTATCCTTACACATCATCTTTGCATTTGATCTTCGGATTAACTGACATTTTCCTTTTTGCTCATGTCCTCCTATAGTGTGACTGTGACTGATAAAAGTTTCTTCCTAAAAGTGCTGCAAACTTTCTTTATTCAAAAATGTCCTTCAAGTTTTCCCCCTCCAACAAAAATTGCAGCTGTGGAGCTGGTACCTCCTCCAGTCCTTTTTCCTTTAAAAGAAAAAAAAAGTTAAGAAATAGCTCTGTTGCTCTGATTATTTTGCAAATAATCCTTTCCTGAATATATTTTTTTTCTTTTTTCTTGGGTTCTGGTGTCATTCCTTTTCATGTTCTCTGTTGGATTCAATCAGTATACTCTTTGCACCAGGAGCCATGAATTCATTTTCGCTTGGAAAGGACCATGCACACAAATGGCGCTACATAATTACTTGTATGTTCTTGAAGTTCCAGCTACACGCAGCGTTGAAGCATCTAATACAGGACAATCTGAGCTCCATATGTATGTTCTTGAAGTTCCAGCTACACTGCAGCGTTAAAGCATCTAATACAGGACAATCTGAGCTCCATGTTCTTGAATTACTTGCCGAATGCAATTAATATGGTAGCATTTTACAATACTGAGGACCAATTTCTTACACTCCCTTCTTTTCCTGCCAAACAAATATATATTAATGCTTGCAAAAATGAAGTTTATTTTTGAATCTTTATCCTACTTAATTACGGCCTCATAATGAAATGGTAGCCAGCGGGCATTTATATAAAAGCATCTTCTGTGGCGGTAAGAAACCCCATTAGCTCAAGTAGCATGGGCTCATGCTTTCAATATTTAAAGCTGGGACTCTATCCCCACTGGCAACTTCTGGCAGCTTTATAAGTATGTGTCAACAGACTTATTAAACATTGGCTTTCCTCATGAGACTTGAACTCCTGTCAGCCAGCTGGGATAAACTTTGCCGTGGGGAACATGTAATACTCTGGCAGAGTGCTGCAATCATGCCCCAATCTAGTCCTTGGCTGATGATGAGCCTGAGAGCCTGCAGCTTACAGCTAATAGAGTAATTCCTTGTGTTCAAGTGATTAAGACTTGTGATCTCGGTTTAGAAGGTTCCCAGTTGCTAACCTTGTACTTTGCCTGTGCTGTCTGTATTTATATAGCAAAGCATTCTTTTAATATATGTATTCACATGGATTATTCCTCATTAATCTATGGACTGACTGTTATGCCTATGTACTGGGCAGCACAGATATCTGAGCCCAGGATGGTGTAAAAGAACTTTAATTTTTAGATCATACCTTTGGGACTGAGCTTTTAATATTTATCAACAGAAGGACCGAAGAGAAAAACAAATTCTGTTCCAGCTCACAAAACAAAAGAACTCCAAAGAAATTCCAACTGTATTGTCTAGATTGTTCTTGACTGCATAGAAACAAAGGAAGAAAGTCGTGGAAGTAAAGGAAGAAAGATTTGGATATTGGAATTCTGGACGACATTTGAGGGCTGCTAGTGTTTGGTTGGGGTTTTTTTTTGGTTGTGGGTAAAGCCTCTACAGTTAAAAATTTATCAGCTTTGATATGGAAGTTGGAGAGACAAAAATGTTATGAGACCAATTAAATATCTTTCTCAAATGTTCCTGCAGACACCACTCAGGATATAGCCTGTGAAACAGAAAGGACCTCTGTGCTACTAGCTGAATGCTGTTAGGAAGTTCATTGCTGTGTTCCATGATTAGTTTTTCAATTCAGTGAAAATTCCACAGAAAGGAGGATGAAAAATCTCTAAAATAAATGTTCCTCTTTAGAGGAGATTGTCTTACGTTTCAGCCATAAAAGTTAGAACTGGGATCTGTACCTAGTGGAAATCAGCACAAGCTCACTGGCTACAACAGAGCAATGGTAACTAGTGCAGCTGGAGAATCTGGCTCCACACTTTCAAAGTGACTTGTGTGCTAGAGCACCCCTGAGGTCCTAAGGGCCTAAGTTATGACCTTTCACGAGATTTTCAGAAAATGCACACTATTTGCCCTGTAAGTGCTGAAAATCTCTAAAGATGTCTCAGTTGAGACAGCTCTAATTATGTACCTATTCTGTTTTGAAAATTTAGACCTAAACATATGCAGCTGTGTGTCATCAAATGAGAACAACTCTACTACTCTGTGAAGTAAATTAATAGTTTTCAGTCCTCAGTATATTCAGGTAATAAGCTCTTGGACACCAATTCCTGCTTTTTA